TTCTTTGGTCTTCCTTATTCATTGTCCAGCTTTCACATGCATATGAAGTGTTTGAAAGCACCCTGTCTTGGGTTAGGCACACCTTGGTCTTCAAAGAGATATCTTTGCTCTACAGCACTTTAAAGAGGTCTTTTGCAGCAGATATGCCCAGTGCCATACTTCCTCCAATGTCTTGACTGCTGCTTCCATTGGTGTTGATTGTGGAACCAAGTAATATGAAATCTTTTACAACTATCTTTATCTTTGTGCTAAAGATAATTAATAACTTTATGCTAAAGTAAATAATAACTTTGTGGTAAAGATAATTATAGTCTTTGAGACAATCTTTGTGCTTTTATTAATTTTTATGCTGAACAAAATATCTTCTTGATTTACTCATGCTAGATGTGCCAGATAGGTCCAATATTTGATCTTCAGCTTAATATTCTATCGTAAGCACACATGTCACCTCATCCACATCCACCATTATTACTTAGATCATTTCCAGTCATCTAAATTGTTAAGAAAGCTGTAATGCATATCCTTTGGCATGTGTTCTGGGAATTCACTATGTCAGTATTTCACATTGATATGAAATTTCAAGTCAAATAGAATAAACTGGATATAATTACTGTTTTGTTTATTGACTATCTATGAGTTTTTCAATGTATTTGACTATTTTAACACTTCTTTGCTTGTCATAAATTTATAAAATATTTCAATATTTGAATATGTATGTCTGTCCTTTTTACTATTGTTTAAAATAAATTATTCTGGCTATGGGTTACTTATGAACTTTGGGGTCAGCTTTCTATATTGCTTTTAAAAAAATGTGTACCAGAGTTTTTATTTTAAATTATTTAACGAATCAATTAAGAAGACTTGCTTCTTTACTGTATTGACTTTTCTTAATCATAAACATGATGTATCTATTTACTTAAATATCTTAATATATTTTAGTAAAATTTTATATTCCAGGATAAGAATATATTTTCCCATTTAGGGTGGGTGATGCAGAGTTCAAAGAACATTAACATTTTATTAAAAATAAATTGCACTGATATGCAATACCACTGCTATTAAACTTTGGCCATTGTGACAGTGACACTTCTGGAAAATTTGCAAGAAATTACACCAGGTGGTGTTGAGTTGGATAAACTCTATGAACTCCCCAAAATCATGCCCAGCATCGCAGTGTTCATTGAATGTGTGTTTTTTGGAAAGAATTTTATGTGAACCCATGCAATGTAATGGGTGTCTTTCAGTGTGCTCTAAATCTTTACAAACATGCTGGCTAATCTGAATCAAAATATAGAGTTTAGTTTTTATAACATTTTCCTTTGTGTGTTACACAACGGAACTTACCCATTGGGTTTTCGTGAGGTGAGAGAAATCTTTACAGAAACGACTCATCGGGCGTTTTCTTCCATGACACTGCTGGGAATTTTCAAACAGATAAACTTTCAGTTTAGCAAAGGATGCTAAAGTGCTTAAGCCACAGTGAGATCCTTGCAAAACATCTTTCACAGAATATTTGGGAGATTTTTAAAATTTAGGATTATGTGTGAAATTCCCCACTTTCACCATGTGACCGTATTATTCATGGGCAATCAGCTCACTAAACTGTGAAGCAAGCTATTCTAAAGTTCATGGCTTACAAAAGAATCATTTAATTATTACTCACAGGTCTATGGTCAGGGGCCACTCATCTGATCTTGGCTGGGCTGAAGTCCAGGCTTCAGATTGGTTTCAGGTATTTCCCCATGTAGCTATCATTCTTTTAGTTCATAAAAGAGAAGATTGTATCTTATTGTTTGTTGCTTGGAGAGTTTTCAAAATAGATCACCATACAAGAACTGAAAACATTGAAATGAAACATCCTCACTCGAGGTAGTACAAAAATTGTGAAATTCTGGAGACCCTTAAATGTGAGAAATATTTTAATTTCCTGACTATGTTAAATGAGAAAAAAGACAACCCAAGGAGGAACATCAAAGGTACAATTAAATATTCACATGACTATTGCATGGGACTGTGTTAAAAGTACATATATATATATATATAAATATATATATTTGCTGTTCCAGAAGAAAGAACTGTAATCAGTGGTTAAAAGACATAGAGAGACATATTTTCATAATGAAATAAATCCTTTTATTCATTTTGTAAATGAGGAACAGCTACTTATTTTTATCAGTGAAAGCTTCAATCAAAATCATATCTTCTATCTTTTGACAGCAGTTAGAAAGTGATTGTTCTTGTTGTTGCTATGTGCTATCAAATCAGACCTGACCCATAGCGACCCTTCCCTGGGTTTCTGAGGCAGTATCAGTACGGAAGTAGATTGCCCAACCTTCCTTCCGAGGAGTGGCTGGTGGTTTGAACCACCAACCTTCTGGTTAGCAGTCAAGTACCTTAGACACTATGCTACCAGAGCTCCCCGAGAAAGTGATTAGAAAACATAAATTGCTGGCCTGCCTTTCCCCAAGAAAAGTGAGAAAACTCTGAGTTCTCCTAGTTCTTGTTCACTTCCTTTCAAGGAACCAAAAGGATACTCTTTGAGCTCTTTTGGTAGAAACTGACTCTGAAAATTTTGTGAACACGGGTGAGTTTATGTAGCCACTCTTGGGGACTTCAATACTATTTCATGTTCCCCTGCACCCCTTTAAGACATATAAACTTGGCAACTTGTACCTTCTTAGGAACTTTCCATATGCAATATTAATACTATGATTTTTTAATCCCCAAATAATTATTGGAAAGAAATAAAGGACAGTGTATTGTGAGGAAAATTATCAAATGAATTACATTTATGTCTTCCACAATTTTCTAAATTGGTGACATTTTAGCTCCCTTAGTGGTGGTTATCAAAACAAGTGGGGTAATATATGGAAAAATAGGATTCATCAACTCCTAAATCTCTTTAGACAAATAGCATCAGACGTCATTGAGTAAAAGTACTTCCAAATTCAAGTTTCCTGGCTATGTAAAAATTACCAGAGGAGCTTGTTAATTATATTGATTTTTATATATTGCTTAACCCAGGCCTAATGAATCAAATTCTTTTACAATAGATCCATTATCAGTTTCAAAATCTCTCAAGGCATTTCAATGATCAGTCAAGCTTGAAAAACGCTCTTCTGTTCCTCATTTTGAAATTGACAAAGCAGAGGCCTATGGAGACACAGGGAATGTATGGCAACCTGGGACAATAACCATGTATTTAGGTGGTGTTTTGGTTATTTCATGCCACTCTAATAGGAAATATCAGAAATGAGTGATCTTAAACAAACAGGGATTTATTCTCTTACAGTTTAGAAGGCTAGAAGTTTGAGTTCAAAGTGCCAGCTCTAGGGGCTGGTTGAAAGCTCTTCAACACTGGGTTTCAGCTCTGCCTCTTGTACCTGGCCCACTGGAGCTAGAGGCTTCTTTATACCCAGGCTGCTGCTGACTGCTGAGGCTGAAAGAGCCAAGGTTGACAAGTAAAAAGGCACAGTGCCAAGATTATCAAGCCACATTGCAGGTCACTACATCAAATCAAATCCCAAGATCAGCAAAGCAAGTCAGGCTGCTGAAGGAAGACTTGGGTACATGCAAAGTCCAAGCATGCCAAAAAGCTGCAGAGACCGTTCTCAAAATGTCTCCTTATATACTGGAAGCAGACCACATCCCCAATGTGGCCACCCAGCTCCTCTGGTAGATTCCACCATTGAGTTGATTACCAGTCTCATTGTGAGGAATTACTAATTACATCTAGCTGCCCAGCCACTCATCCAGGCCCAGCCAAGTTGACACATAAACTTAACGACCACACATGGTTCCAGGGAAAGAGTTTCTTGATTATCCAACTCAGACATGTAGCTCATATGACTTGCTGCTTTTGGATCTTTCTTCTCTTTACATCTGTGATTGCACCAAAATCAGCAAGCATTTTTTAGTCACTCTCTATACAGGCCTTAGGAGCTCTGGTGGTGTAGTGCCTAAGGCATTTGACTGCTAACCCGAAGTCTGATGGTTCAAACCCACCAGCCACTACTGGAAAGGAAGGTTGGGCAATCTGCTTCTGTAGTGATACTGCCTCGGAAACCCAAGGAGGGATTGCTATGAATCAGATCTGACTCAACGGCAGTGAGCTTGGTTTTTGTTTGGTTATAAAATAAATGACTGTTCATAATTGTGGAAAATACCAGGAGATAATCAGTGATATATTCACCTGTAACAGGAAAAAATATAAAAGTCCAGTTTACATCCCAAATTGAGGAAGGATGGTATTACTTAGAAAAGTTATCAGTTCATTTGAGGAAAGTGTTTTTTTGGCAGAATGAGTCTCTGTGGCATTTACAGATGGCAATCTGGTTAGTTAAGCCAAGGAAGGAGTGCAAGTGACTCACTCTTTTCAGTAGAGCTGCTTGGTCGAACATGGAGGAAAGAGGAAAGTAACAGAAACGTTAGGGGTCCTGTTGACTGAATCACAGTCACCTGTTCATCACAAGTGACTCTGTTTCCATCCAGCTCCTTCACCTGTTTCTGGTGCTCATTTCACACGAAGTGGGACTGAAGCAGGAGAACATAGGTATGGCTTAGTCAGTTAACAGCAGCATACTCACGGGTTACCATAAATAAAAAGTGGTCAACTTGCCTAATACCCTTAGTATTTGGGCAAAGACAATAAGTTTGATAGGAAAGAAAAGATGTTTTTTGCTTCTTTTATTTTTCTCAAGACCAGAGAATGAGAATGTGCCTTTTGTGTTTTAAGCATGTTCTTTATCTTTTTGTTGTTCCCCCTTCATTCCAAACTTTCTGTTTTGTCTTCACAAGCATCTGTGTTTTAGGAGGACTTATAATAACGTACTTTAGCTTAGATCCTTGCTAGTTATTTTGAACTATTTTTCATATAATAATTCATACGGAGTGCTAAACAGTAAAGATACTTTCAATTTTTAAAGAAATTAAAGAAGGATTAGAAGGAGATAACATTTGTTTCTCCCAAAAACCCTGCATCATTAGAATTACTGTCTTCATCATACAGTTGCATTAACCAAGACTGGACAAATATAGATCATTCTGGTTAAAAGTATCATTCCTTCAAAATATTTGTCATTAGCCTTCCATAAAACCTTTCTACACCACAGTTTCTTCATAGCATTTTTTACTTCTGCATTTCTCAGTGTATAAATCAGGGGATTTAGCATGGGGGTGACATTGGTATAAAACACAGCCACCATTTTATCCTCAGCAAAGGTCGTATCAGGGCGCATGTACATGAAAGTACAGGGGCCAAAAAAAATGATGACTACCACAATGTGGGAGCCACAAGTGGAGAGAGCTTTGCGCCTGCCTTCTGCTGACTGCTTTCTCAGAGACTGAAGGATGACACTGTAGGAGATTAACAATATCACAAAACCTCCCAGGGCAATGGTCCTGCTGTTGGCTGTCTCAGCAACACCAGCAATATGTGTGTCTGTGCAGGCCAGTTTCAGTATAGGGTGAACATCACAAAAGTAGTGATCAATCACATTGGGTCCACAAAAGGGGAGCTGAAGCACAAAACACAGCAGGATAGTACTGTGTAAGGACGCGCCTACCCAGATCCCCAGCATGATTTGATTGCATCTGTCCCGGTCCATGATGGTCATATAGTGGAGAGGTTTACAGATGGCCACATACCGATCATAGGCCATTACAACAAGGAGGAGTACCTCACTGGATCCAAAGAAATGTAACTCAGAGAGTTGCAAAATGCACCCCACATAACATATCGTTTTACTCTTGGCTAATAGGTCAACAATCATTTTGGGAGCTATAACTGAGGAGTAACACAGGTCCACAAAAGACAAATAGTTGAGAAAGAAATACATAGGAGACTTGAAAAGGTTGCCCATATGCACTGTCATCATGATAAGAAGGTTTCCCAGAAGAGTAGCTGTGTATAAGAAAGAAAACACCACAGAACAAATGTCTTCCACCTCTGGGTTCTGAGAAAGGCCCAAGAAAATGAACATAGTTACATTGTTTATTGTTCCCATGGAATTATTTCTGGAGGCCAAGTTCCTGAGACAATTGAAATGTCTGAAAATAATGAAAAGGACCAACAGCATTATTTCCATTGTAGAACAAAGGTATAATTACAGTATTTGAAAATGGAAAGTAGGAACTTGGTACTCTTTGGCATGCATTCAGAGAAACCAAAGTGTTTATATTGTGACCATTTTCCTTCACACAACAGTCAATTCATTTATTTCAAAAGATGAAACAAAGTCTAGAGACATCAAGTAAATCCCACAAATAGTCCATCAAGCCAACAGTTCCATCTTTTTGCTATTTTTTTAAAAAAAGATATATTCATTTGATTTAAAATATTTGCTTAGTTCGTGTTTTATGTAAGCCCTAAACCTGACTCCGAAACAACTTCTGTGTTTGGAGCTCATGGGCTGTGCCAATGGTTAACATGGTCGGCTGCTAACCAAAATGTTGGGGATTCAAGTCCATTCAGAAGCACCTTGAAAGAAATGCCTGGCAATCTACTTTCAATCAATCAGCTGTTGAAAACAATTAACTGATAAAAATATCTGACTTGAGTATAATGTTCCTTTAAAAACTATGGTGTCAAATTGACAACAATTTGAAAATTACATAGATAAGGAAGATTAGATAGGATTAGATAGAAAACTTAAAGGATGGTGAGTTTGTGTTAATTTGGGAAGAACAGCTCAATAAAGGAGAGTGAGAATGGTCACACAACTCATAGATTGCAATCAATATCATTGCAATGTACATATGGAAACTGTTGAATTAATGTATATTTTGATGTGTATGTTCACAACATTGCGAGCTCCGGTGGTATAGTGCCTAAGGCATTTGACTGCTAACCAGAAGGCTAGTGGTTCAAACCCACAAGCCACTCCTCAAAAGGAAGAATGGACAATCTACTTCCATAGAGATATAGCCTTTGAAACACAAGGAGGGATTGCTATGAGTCAAATAAACATTAACAAAAAAATCAAATCAATACAAAACAGAACAAAAAAAGTCCTATGAAGCACAGTTATACTCTGACACACAAAGAGTCACCATAAGTTGTAATGAACCCTGTCATAACTGGTCTGTGTCTGGGGACATGGTAACATTTGTGTGTCTGGAGAAGTTCACCCATTGTTTGACAGAGAAGTCATGATCTAAGCATACAAATTCTCTTCTTAATAGGGCCATGTCTGTAGATCATAGTCATCAATAAGCTCAAGTCATAAATACTGGGTGACCTCAGCAAGTCCTCCTACTTATGAGACTTGGATTTTTATGTGCATGTGGTTATGCTCTTGTACACGATCTCAAACCCATTTATCAGTATGTCACTCTGGGGTGACTGACATATTGCTGTAAGGCTGGAAGCTATGTCACTGGCATTTCAAATACCATGGTCACCAACAATGGACAGGTTTAAGCAGAAATTCCTGACTAAGATAGACTAGGAAAAAGGAGGGGCTCATCAAGTTCTAAAACTGACCATTGAAAACCTTGTGAATAGCAGTGAAACACTACTGATATGGTACTGGAAAATTTTCTGAATACAGTGAATCATTTTCTGATAGAGTGTTTGGAATGAGCACTTCATGTTAAATGGCATTCAAAATATTCCTGGAGAAGAGCTGTCTACGCAAAGTGGAAGCTGTCTTAAGGATGTGCCTGGAGTAAAACCATTGGGACTTTCATTCGTTGATGGGATGTGACTCAATATGAATAGAAATAGCTGAAAACATTCATTATTAATCAGAATGTGGAATGCACAAAGTATGAGTGTAAGAAAATTAGAAGATGTCAAAAATGAAATAGAATGCATAAATTTTGATGTCCTAGGCACTATTGATCTGAAATGGAATGGTATTCTCCATTTTGAATCAATCATGTGATCTACTACGCAGTCAAGGGCAAATTGTAGAGGAATGGTTTTACATTCATCACTAAAAAAAAAAAAAAAAGAATTCAAGATTTCTCCTGAAGTACCATACTATTAGTGATAGATAATATTCATATACCTACCAGGAAGACTAGTTAATAATAATCCTAATAATATTCAAATTTATGAACTAACCTATAATGCCAAATATGAAGAAATTTATTTTTTTTTTCTTTTTACAACTTCTATACTATGAAAATGACCAAATATTCAATCTAGATGTATTGAAAATTAGAGGTGATGGGAATGCAAGGGGTGGAAAAAAGAAGAAACATGATTAGTTGGAAAATATGGCCTTGGTGACAGAAACGACACTGGAGACTACATGATAGAATTTTTCAAAACCAACAACTTACTCATTGAAAATAACTTTTTTACAACAACATAAATGGCAACTATACACAAGGACTTTGCTGGAAGGAAGGAGATGAAGAAGCTAAATATCATCAGTCAGAACAAGGATGGTAGCTGACTGTGGAACAGACCACTAATTGTTCATATGCAAGTTGAAGATGAAGCTGAAGTAAATTAAACAATCCCATGACATCCAAAAGATGAACTCAATATCCTACCTGAATTTAGAGACCTTCTAAAGAAAATATTTGACACAGAAGACAGAATGAGTTGTGGGTGACATTAAGAACATCATACATGAAGAAAGCAAAAGATCACAAAAAAATAGGAAAACAAAAAAGAACAAAATTGTTGTCAATAGAGACTCTGAAACTCGCTCTTGAACATAGAGTAGTTAAAGCAAGTAGAAGAAATGAAGAAATGAAAGACCAAAATGGAAGATTTCCAAGGATGTTTTGATAAACCAAAGTAAAATATCATGAAGAAATGTGCAAGAACCAGGAATTAGAATGAAATGAAGTAAACACTTGGCATTTTTTAAGAGGGAAGAATTGAAGAAAAATTCAAGCCCAAAATTGGATGATTCTATGGTCAAATATTCAATGATGCAGAAAGCATTAAAAGATGATGGAATGACTACAAAGAGTCATTGTACCAAAAAGAGTTGATACATTGAACATTTCAGGAGATATCCTATGATCTGGAGCAAATGATATAGAGGAAAAAAAGTCCAAACTTCACAGAGGGCACTGGTGAAAAACAATGCTCCAGGAATTGAGGGAATATCCATTGAGATATTTTGACAAAGGGATGCAAAACTAGACGTACTTGTTTGTTTATGCTAAGAAATTTGGGAGGTGCTACCTGGCCAACTGACTAGAAGGGATCCATCTTTGTGCTGATTCCAAAAAAAAAAAAAAAAGATGCGATTCAAGAAAATGTATAAATTACTGAAAAATATCACTAATGTCACAAAGAAAATTTTCCAGAAGATAATTAAAAAATGGTTAAATCAGTATATTAATGGGCAATTTCCCAAAATTCAATATGGATTTAGAAGAGAACATGGAATGATGGCTCTCATTGCTGATATCAAAGAGATCTCGGCAAATAATATCAGAAATATGTTTACCTGTGTTTTGTTTTCTATGCAAAACCATTGGACTGTGTGGATCATAAGAATTTATGGATAACATTGAGAAGAATAGTAATTCCAGAACACTTAATTCTGCTCATGAGGAAACTATATACAGACCATGTGGTGGTCATTTAAATAGAACAAGAAGATTCTACATGGATTAAATCAGGAAGAGTTTCTGCCAGGGATGTGTTCTTCATCATACTTATTGAGCCTGAATGGTGGGCAAACAATCTGAGAAGCTGGACTATATGAAATAGGATGTGGCACTAGGACTGGAGGGATATTTAACAATCTACAATATTCAGGTTACACAAATTTGTTTGCTGAAATTGAAGATCACAAGCTACATTCTTCCATATGGATTGCAGCTCAGCATAAAGAAAACAAAAATCCTCAAAAATCCTCACAACTGGATCAACAACCAACTTAATGATAAGCAGAGAAAAGGTTGAAGTTGTCAAAGATTTCATTTTAATTGGATCCCAAATCAACATCCATGGAAGCGGCAGTCAAGAAATCAGAAGTCTTATTGCACTGGGCAACTCTGATACAAAAGACTTTTATAAAGTGCCATAGAACAAAGAAAATACTTTGAAGACCAAGGTGCGCCTGACTTGAGCCATGGTATTTTCGATAGCCTCATATGCATGTGAAAGCTGGACAATGAATAAGGAAAACCAGATATATGATTCCTTTGAACTGTGGTGCTGGTGAAGAAAACTTAAAATGCCATGGACTGCCAGAAGAACAGCAAATCTGTCCTGAGAGAAGTGTCACTGTGATGCTCCTTTGAAGCTAGAATGGCCAGACTTTGTCTCACCTACATTGGTCATGTTTTCAGAAGGGACCAGTCTCTGGAGAAGGATAGCGTGCTTGATAAAGGAAAGGTTGAGCAAAAAAGAGAAAGACTGTCAATGGGCTGGATTGACACAGTGGATGTGATTATTAGCACAGTACTAGAATTGAGAGGTGGCCACAATGCCAGAAATTGTGAGGATGCCATAGGACCAGGACACTCAGTACAAGTGTTTTGTACTGAGGGTCACCATAATTTGGAGAAGACTTGACTGCAATTAATAATAACAACTTAATCCGAATCTTTACATTCAGGATGTGGTGTGGTGTAGTAGAAGGAGTGTATACCACACTGACTCTTAGATCATGAGGTTGTGGTAAGTTGCCATCAAGTTAATTTTCAACTCATAAGTTTGCCATGTGCTGAGTGAGTTTAAACTAAATTGTGGTGTAACCTGGGGTAAATTATGTAACCTCATCTTTTGCTTCTCTGTTTCTGAATAGGGAGCTCTGGTAGCATAGTGCTCAAGGCACTTGACTGCTAACCAGAAAGCTGGAGGTTCAAACCCACCAGCCACTCCTTGGAAGGAAGATGGGGCCATCTACTTTCATAGTGATATTGCCTGGGAAACCTAAGGAGGGGTCGCTATGAGTCAGGTCTGATTCGACAGCACATAACAACAACAACATTTCTGAATAAAAAACATCTGATTTCACTATCCTGTCTATTACTCTAAGAGTATTTCTACCATGAACTGAATCATTTTGTCAGCTTAGAACCG